ATTGATACTTATAAACATTTACAATTTATTTTTGGAGTCGGTGCCAACCAAACCAAAAATTACTTTAAAAGATACCTACTTGATTAATTAATAAATGAATGCAAAAGTAGAGATTAGATAAAAGAAATCGGTCGAAAAGTTTGTTGTCTTGAATGGCACCGACTCCAAAAATAACTGATTGTTAATGGATATAAGTATCAACGATTTTGTCGATTGTTCTGTAATGCACTTTTTAGTTTAACTTTGTACATGTAGGTATAGTCTTCAAGTCGGTTTTTTTTCAAAAATTAACTTTATTTTACTCAATCCCAATAAGGATTATATTCATAAAAATGATCAACTATGTATCAATTATGTATGTAACTACGGTGTTAACCAAGGACGTAGCCAACTTTTTTTGATGTAGGCCAAGAATGGGTCACACACAAGATCCATATAACCCAACAGATCTACAATAATTTTATACTATATTACATATTTAGGCAAGAAAAGTAGTGTTCAGACAGCATGTTCATTTCCTCCCTTGGTGCGTATACTATTTGTCACTACCCGTCAGTTACGAAGTAAACTTTTTTTGAGTACTTAGTTTAGCAATCATGGTCATCGAGAAAAAAAATCATGGGTTATTAGATAAACATTTTATTAGAAAAAAATATTAACATTTAATACGTATGTATACCTACAAGATGTCACATATAATAAATGGCTTTTAGAAGCAAAAGCACCCCAGAAAGACTAAGTGCTTGTGGACGTTTTACTGGTCTGGGAGTTTATTTAAAAAGTGACCCAAATGATTACTTTGCTGCAGATATTCCTTCATCTGGATTTACTGTAAGCAATCAAACTGTTATTGATTTGTATTCAGTTTAGTGATAAGATTGTAGATCCCTTTTTTCAAATAGTGGTAAAGTTTCTTTTTATATATATTTAGTGTTAAAATCTAGTAAAGTAAACTAAAAATTTCAAATACTAAACATGTTTTGTTCCAAGAAAAGACTATATTAAAGTTTTTTCAAATACTTTAACTCATAAATCCACAAAAAATAATTTTTCGTTTAATCTTGTATATTTGATTTTGGTCTTGAATATTCGTCCTTGGTTTTGTCCTGGTCTTGTTCGTTCAGTATGGTCTTGCTAGTATAAAGACATTTTCGCAAGAGTAAGATCAATTTTGCTCATTACTAATTCAGTTTGACCTAATGTGTTTCTTAAATTTTTACTTATTCATTTTTCTAGATGAAAATTCATTATGCCTATAATTTAGTTGAAACAAATGCTAGACAGCCTTTTTATTTGAGAGACCAAACGGGTAATTTTGTGTATTTATCACCTTCCCTGGTCCAAGTTTCTAAATACGTACGAGAAATGAAAATTTCTCAGAGGAATTGTTTTCTATTAGATGAAAGAAAACTGGAACTTTCTTCTGAATATACTTTAAGGAATTGTTTGTTTGAATGTAAAATGAAATTAATTTTTAAACTGTGCAACTGTATTCCATTCTACTATTTTATCGAAGGTAATATCGTCCAATCAAATACAAAATTGTCTGTAAGTACAAGCTTTCTTGGAATTAAAAATGACACTTTTTACAGCTGTCCACAAAGGAAAAAGGATTTGTGAAATCAGTGATATGAACTGTTTAATAAATAAACGAGGTAAATAAAAAAAATACAAGGGAGACAGTTATGACTTTGTAGAATGTAGAACTGCCGTTTTTTATTTTTCTACTTCATTTATTTATTTACAATATTTATTATAATTATTTATAATTTGGTTGAAACACTTGCATGCCTAGATTTTAAAGCAATTTGGATTTTTAATAAATCATCATGTATAAAGAATCATCATAACCATGGGGTCCTCCAGTGCCGTATTTACGGGAGGGATGATGGAGGGGTGGGGTTGTATCACATCACTGATCCTTAAAGACAAGGCCTCGTTTTCAAAAACTATTTGTTTTATTTAAAAAAAGAATTAAATAATATTGAAAACTAAGCACTGTATAACTAAATGAATATTACAAATGAAACACTATATCTACTGTTATTGTCTAATCAAACTGATATTATAAATGCGAATGAGGGTCTGTTTGTTTGTTAGTTTGCTACCATTTCATGCTTTAACTGCTCGTCTACATATTGTCGGGGTACAGAAAAGGAGATAGAATACTTTTTATTCATAAAAAAACTACTGTTCCCGAGGGATAGAACAAATTAGTTTCATATGATCTTTGAGACGTATTTAGTACATCAACGCAAGCGAAACCGCGCTTAAAAAGTAACGTGAAGTTTTGTACACACATTGTCAAGGGTACAGAAAAGGACATAGGGTACCTTTTGTTCAGAAATGAATACCGTTCCCGAGGGATAGAAAATTTAGCTTTATGAGATCGTTGACGATCTTCGACACGTATTTGGCACAACGAGAGCGAAGCCACGTGTAAAGCCTAGGAATGGATAAATATAAGTTTATTTTATATGAACTGAGAGGATGAATACCGGCAGTTAGAGACCTTTTTTTTTAACTGTTATTGATAGAAAATAAACAGCCTTAAGAGGAGCGCCTCTCTTCAAATTTTAGATTTAGGCCTCGCCTAGTAGGGGTA